TTTGCGGACGTAAACCAGCCCGCACGCGGTGAGAATATGGCTCAGCGCCATTTGCGGACGTAAACCAGCCCGCACGCGGTGAGAATTACGCCTTAAAGATACCTATACCAACGATGTCTGCACGAGAAAAATCATAATCCCAAATTCGGCAAAGATTTCTGTTAGGAATTAAGCATTTTAAAGTAGTAATTTTGTTAACCTTTTCGTGTATAATGCGTATGAAACGCCCTATGACGTCAGTTGGTCGTTTTTTTGTGCATGACCACATAAGAAAATGAGCCTCTGAGTATAAATGCATGTATGAAATATGTGTGTAATTAAAAGTAAAATCGGAAGGGGGAGGGGCGTCTACATAGGGAAAAGAAGCCAACTATTTACTTTTTAACGGTTCACATCAGGGGTGGTGTGTTACAGTGAGCATTGGGAAGGTATCCTTAAATAGCTAAACGTTAGCATGAAATAGGTGCGTGAAACGCGGTGCGTGAAACTCGGTGCCTCTCATTCCTCACGCACAATGATGATTAAAAAAAACATGCACGCACCTATGCATATACGCACACGCACGCAGGCACGCCCGCACGCACGCACGCACGCACACACACGCAGCCGAGCCTGCCTGATCCGATAGCGTCTATAATATATATAGATATATATATATATATATAGACTGTACACGAGACTAGAGTAAAATATACGCCGCTCCGTTGATGCTGTGTATGTCTAGGCATCTGGGGCAGTCATTGAGGCAGTCTATAGATGAGCATGTTACGTCGGTATGTACGGCTATATACGCGCACACGTAGAGGTGCGACATAACTCACAGGTGGAGCCCTGGATAATTGTCCACCAACCCTATCCCTATACTCATCCCAATCCTCAAACCCATCCCCTATCCCCATCCTCATCTTCATCACATCTTTAACTTCATCCTTACCCCTATCCCCATCCTCATCTTCATCCCTATTCTTATCATTATCTATATCTTCATTCCAATCCCCATCCCTATCCCCATCTCCATCCTTATCCCCATCCCCTCATCCCTATTATCATTCCCACCCCAGCCCTATCCTTATCCCCATCCCCACCTTTATTTCCTATCCCCAGCATTATCCTCTGTTCGAGCTATTTGGTCTGCAATACCCCGTTGCATCCATCGCCATTTGGTCTGCATTACGCTGTTGCATCCGCTGCCTGCCTCCCAATATTGTTTACAGTCCAATGTTGCCTGTGTTTCAATGCTGCCTGTTTTCCAACATTGCCTGCTTTCTCATATTGCCTGCATTCCAACATTGCCTGCATTCCAACATTTATTGCTTTCTCATATTGCCTGCCTTCCAACATTGCCTGCTTTCTCATATTGCCGACCTTCCATCATTGCCTGCTTTCTCATATTGCCTGCCCTCCATCATTGCCTGCTTTCTAATATTGCCTGCCTTCCAACATTGCCTGCTTTCTCATATTGCATACCTTCCAACATTACCTGCCCTCCAATGTTGCCTGCCTTCCAACATTGCCTGCTTTCTCATATTGCATACCTTCCAACATTACCTGCCCTCCAATGTTGCCTGCCTTCCAACATTGTCTGCTTTCTCATATTGCCCGCCGTTCATCATTGCCTGCTTTCTAATATTGCATACCTTCCAACATTACCTGCCCTCCAATGTTGCCTGCCTTCCA